TCAGTGACTGGGGTAATTGGGATGGGAGTGTCAGAGACAGTGCTATTGGCACAGGACAGAGCGGAGTTTAGGGCTGTTGTACATAGGGTCGCTATGAGTTGCAGGTGACTCGACGGCACATAACAACAACATACATAATATTTAGATCTTTGTATATCTGGTTGTAAACCAATTGCTTTATATGTAGATTTATATCTGTGGATATGTAGAGCTCTAGTGGCTTAGTAGTAAGGAATTAAAAGTACTCGGTCCAAATCCACCAGTTGCTCCATGGGAGAAAGATGGGTAACTTCCTTTCATGCAAGTTACTTCCTCTGAAAACTCACTGGAGGGTCAGCTATGGGTTGGTTCTGAATCTGGTACATACAATAACATATGCGTGTATGTTTATACGTGCTGGTAACCCAAAGGCAGACAGTTCAAATTTACTAGCTGCTCCACAGGAAAAGGTGAGCCATCTCCTCCCATACAATACATATCCACACACAAGCAATCTCCTATTAGTCCTGTTTCTCTGGAGAACCCTGACTGATACAGACTGGCTGGCCAACACTTGTTTTAAAGTTAATCAACAGTCAGGTATTTATTGAGCATTGTGCATACTGCTACAATATTTAACTGAGATACTTTGTACTTAATCATGGAAATATTCTGGGATGATGTTAGTAAAAGTAAGTCTTAGTGCCTAACTTTACCTTCAGAGGAATGACTGAGTTATACCACTGGCTCTGAGCAGAGTCTCAGCCTCCCGCGCTGGTTTTACAGGAAAGCTGCTGTCAAACTGAGAAGTCAGAAAAGAGATGAAATTTAAGATTCAGGATATTCGACCAAACAGTGTGTGAAGATGGAACAGAACCACAGAGCCATCAGAGTTTGATTATTCTCTTGATTTATTAATATTCAGATTGAAAAAGGAGTCGTAGAGCCGCAAGTTACGCTAATTGGCACATCTGCTTTATTTATTTATTTTTAAAACAATCTTGATTTTTAATTTTTTTTCCTTTGTTTGTTCATTCCATCACATTGAAAAGGAGAAAAAGAAAAATGGTTTTGAATTCACTTGATATTTTGGACTCCTCAGATGAACGGAACATTGCACACACACTTTGAACAGAGAGATAGAGAGGAAAGTGGACTCCCACAGGGCCACACGCACCAGATCAAAAAACTTGGATACAGTGCAAGAATTTCCCAAAATGATTGGATCATCATTACCAAAAACTCGCCATAACAACACCAAGAAACAAAAATGTTTAAGCCACACTGTTTGACTTGGGATCTTTCCTGCTTTTTTTTTTTCTTTTTTTTTTTTTTTCTTTTTTAAGTTTGCCACACAGAGAGAAAGAGGGCTAGTAGGTGGGAGAGGACAGACTCACAGACGTGAGCAGGACAGGAAGGGAAACTTCAGAGTGGAGTTGAGTAGCGGGTAGGAGAGACAGGGGTCAGGAGAGGGGAGGGCAGGAACGTGGAAAGCCATTTCTTAAAGTTCAGGCATTTTCTTGGTCCGCCTCGCCTTCTTCTCCTTTACCCTCATCCTGCCGGGCACTTTCCTTAGGTTTGGTTTCATCTACAGCTTCTGAAGAAGAAAACAAGATAGGGCAGAGAAACAACAGAAGAGTTAGTACTTGTCTCATCTGCTCAGAAGATGGTACTATGTACTTTCCCCACAGACCATTTCCTAAGTGCTTTGAAATGGAAATAACAAAAACTGCCAGTTGTCATTGAGTCAGTTGCAACTCACTACAACCTCATGTGTGTCAGAAAAGAACTGTACTCTATAGGGTTTTCAGTGGGTGATTGTTTCAGAAGGGGAAACTCAGGCTTTTCTTTCAACATACCTATGGGGTAGACACAAGCCTTTAACATTTTGATTGGAAGGAAGAAAGAAGTGTTAACCATTTGCACCACCTAGGATTCTTAATACAGAAGTAGGTTATTAGGATCCCAGTAAGATTTCCTAGTATGGAAGAGTTTACTCCAGGAGGCTATTCAGTGAAATATATGAAAAAGCTCAGGAGCAAAGGCATATTCAACTCAGAACTCAAATTCACTACTGTAGACTCGATTCCAACTCACCATCATCCTCTATTAGGTTTCTGAGACTTTAAATTGCACAGGAGGAGATTGTGTACATTTCTTCTGCAAAACTGCTGATGGATTTGAACTGCCAGAAATGTCGAGGCTCTGAGTTAATAATACAATTCACCCCAAATTACGCCATCAGAGGGACGTGGCTGTTGTCTTTAACCGTCAATCTGACAAGTAAGGTAGCCACTCTTATGGCAGGGAATCTTGAATGTATTTTCTATTAGAGTTAGATAAATTATGACATATCTTCATGTGTTTTGTTCAACAACCATAAACTTTTTAATGTATGAAAAAGATTAAAAATTGAAATTCCAGCTCTACTTGGGACTACAGTGATAAATGTGACTCAGTTCCGACCTAACAGATGGAATTCCTTGGGGAGAATTCCTCTCCCAAATAAAAGTAGAAGTTCCACAGAACCTACTTTCCTTTGCTGGATGACTAGGCATCCTTTCCTGTTGACCGAACATCAAACACTCCTTGGTAGGGTAGCAATAACCTCATGACCAAGACGACAAAAACTGTACAATAAAAACAGTTGGCTGTCTTTCCCTTAGAATTCTTACTGTGTGAGACAAAGTCTTTAAACCACTGTAGTAGTTTTCAGTTCCTTGAAGCTAAACACATGCCAACAGAAAATACTTACCTATGGGTTTTTTTTTGAAGGATAATATTTTCCTCAGAAGGTAGACACTTTTCTAGTAATCCATTTGTATTTTTCATAAAACTCAGTCGACTTATTTCACACTACAAAAATAATTTGCCAGTATTCCAATTTATAGGAAAAGAATTCATTTGCTCTGAGGCCATTTGTGTTACCATCCTTAGGGTCCTTGCGATCAAATCTAGATTTGAAGAGTCCTGATGGGCACCCTTCTCCTGGGTGATTTAACTGCATCTGAAAATCTACTGGAAGGTCAGCCCTGGGCTGGTTCCGACTCAACGGTACACAAGTACAACAAGAAGGAGCACTCACAGGACTCAGCATATAGTCCTACTCATGGCTGATTTATTACTGTAAAAGGACACAAAGCAAAATTGGCAAAGGAAAGGATACATGCAGTAATATTAGGAGGAAATTGGCACAGGTTTCCAATAGACTTCTCTCATGGAAAAGAAGAGAAATATATTGAGGGTTTTCTGATAGAGGATAGATAGTTATGATACCCTGTTACATTAAGCATCAAATTGTGGAATGTGTGAAGTGTTATATACATAGAAGATTATTAGTGACTCAGTTTCCAAACTTTTTGATGAGTTCTAACTTTTACCTAACATGTATCAAAATTCCACACTTCCAGAAAGAAAGATGCATTCACCACAAACCATAACATTTACATGAACATCTTAAGTACAGTGGACAAACCCTCCAAAAAATAAAAATTCCCAGATCAATTTGAAGGTTAATCTTATAAGGTGACTTTTCTAAGGATAGAAATACTAAGCTTACTAAGTTAACTTTTTTCTGCATAACCCTTGGTGTTTAAAAGTCTGTATCTTTTGAAACAAAGCTGTTAGTATATCTACTAGCAACTGATATTTCTTGAAAATTAAATTGACATTTCCTGGAGTAAAAAACACTTTATAGTCTAAATAGCTTATATTTTATTTGAAGGTCACAGAGAACATTTGAAAGAAAGTATGTAATACAATTGTGCATTCAGAAGACCAAACTAGCAGTACTACTTAGGGTGGCTTTGGTGTTGAATAGAAATGTTGAGGGTAGAGAAGTAGGGGCCCAATTTAGGAGACTCTCAGAAAGGAAGGATGGTAGGGGCTGGAGATGAAGGAATAGGTACGGTTTAAAGGGGATTTGAAAGCAGCTTTATCTCAGTATAAATATGTAGCTGACTGATTAATAAAGACATACATTTGCTTTGGGTTTTGTTTGCATACAGTCATTCATAAATACTGTGTTTAATTCATGGACATTATGTTCTGTACAATTACTCATATACATTGTAATTTGTTTTAAATGTTGTTGTTACGTACTATCACAACCAGAACTGACCCACAGCTGACCACTAGGCGACCAGGGCTCCCTTTATTTTATAAATATATATGTAAAAAAATACTAAATACATGATATTTACAAAAAACAAAGGAAGCTCTGGTGGCTTGGTGGTACATATATATCTATCTCTATATCTATATCTATATATATCATGATGATTCTCTGTTGGGTTTCTGAAGCTATAAATCTTTATGTTGTTGTTGCTGATTGTTGTCAAGTCAAGCACGACTCATAGCAACCCCATGAACAAGATGCCTGAAGCTTTTCTATAACTATCATCATTTATCAAAGTTCATAGAGTTTCCAGAGGCATATTGTTTAGGAAGATGATCTTTATAGGAAGAGACTTCACATCTTTTTTCCCATAGTAGATTTGAACTGACTTTAGATTAGCAGTCTAACATGAAACATATTTTCCCTATTGGTCTTCTAAACTATGTTGTTAGTATGCTATCAACTCAGAACTGACCCACAGCTGACTTCCAAGTGGGTTTTAGAGACAATCACATGGGAAGAGATTAACCATTCTCTTCCAGTAGAGCAGCTGGTGGACTCAAACCACATAGCTTTGAGATTGCAATGCACCTTCTTACCACTAGGCTACTAGTGCTTCTATGTCATTGTTGTTGGTAGGTGCCATCAAGTTAAGTATGACTCATAGCTACCTTATGAATAAGAGATCTGAATCTTGTCCTATCCTGTGCCATCCTTACTATTTCTGAGAAAATTGAACCCATTGTTACAGTCACTATGTGAAGCCATTTGATGAGATTCTTCCTCTCTTTTCACTGGACCTTCACTTTTCCAAGCATGATATTCTCTTCCAAGGAAGAGTCTATCCTAGCAATATGTCCAAAGTATGAGAGATGGAGCTTTGTCATCCTTGCCTCCAAGAAGCACTCACACTGCACCTTTTTCAAGACATACTTGCTTGTTCTTTTGGCAGTCCAAGGGATATTCTCCAACACCACAACTCAAAGACATCAATTCATCTTCTGTTAACTTAATTAGTAAAAATTACTTCCTTGAGCATTACATTCTTTTAAAGAACTAGATTGATGAGATCAAATCCACAAAATATCTCAAAATATTAGGGAAGCTACTTGGAAAAAGTGAGTTAATGCTAATGGTGAAGAAACAATTAAAAAAAGGGGGGGTGAGAATAGTTGCACAGCTTGTATAATGTAATCAACACTGCTGAATGAATATTTAAAACACAACAACAAAAAGCAAAGTAAACTTGGGGAGGGAGAAGAGAAAAATGTGCAATAATGAATGAATGAAAAGTCAAATTTTTGGTAAACTTTCATTAAAAGCACAACTAAAAAATAAATTGTTGAATTTGTAAATATTTTTAACAATAATAGCAATAAAAAAGAAACAAATACATTTAAAGTGGCTCAAAATGGAGAGAATTTTGGAGAGTTTTCAGAAATATGAGTCCTTGTCTTGGCACTTTCTGGCACTAATTACGTAGTTTAAAAGTGCTGGAAATAATTTAATATGTAATCTTTGTATTTGTGCAAAAACTTTGATCATCATGGTGTGTGTCAAAGATAGATGAATGGTTGAGGCCAGCTGGTCACTCTAATTACCACCATCCGATTAGAGTAAATAATTATATTCCCATCTAGAGGATCAACCTCCCTCTGAGACAGTTATTACTTAAGAGGAGGCTGTAGACATTAAAAAGCTGAAAGGATATTTTTCAGTGCCAAGTGACATTAGAACAAATGCTGGAAGTAAACAGGCATGGAGTGAGCAAATGGGAAAAGTCTGGAGTTGTTGGTGTGACAGTGACATCAAGAAAGTTGTAGAATTAAAATACATTGGGGTTTTTTGTTTTGTTGGGTTTTTTTTCCTTTTTGGGTTAGCTTACATTAAACCTGAACATCTAATATTAATTGTTTTTGTTAAAATGTTTCAAGAAAATAAATATTAAATGAATTATATATACATAAATTTTATATATATATATATATATAGAGAGAGAGAGAGAGAGAGAGAAATTACATAATACTTAAAATACTACGGATCTGAGATCTAGACAATGAATAAGGATGACAGAAGAGGAACTGATACTTTCGAGCTGTGGTGTTAGAGAAGAGCACTAAACACACCATGAATGGCCATGGGAACAAACAAATAGATCTTGGAGAAAGGGCAGCCAGAGTGTCCCTTGGAGGCAAAGATAAACTTTTGCCTCATATACTTTGTGCATGTTTCTGTGGGAGGCTGTTCTTGGAGAGGGATATCATCCTTGGAAAGAGAGAGGATGAGCAAGAAAGAAGAAGATCCTCAACCACGAGATTTGACACAGTGACTGCTGAAATGTGCTCTAGTGTGTCAGGAAGTGTGAGTATGGCACAGGATAGGACAAAGTTCAGAATTGTCGTTTGTAGAGTCTCTATGGGTAGTACTCTATTCAACAGCACCTAATAACACCACCATACACATATACACACACATGTGTT